TTGTTACTACTAGTAAGGCACTTGTTCCTAGTAGCTTCTTGTTACTAGAATGCAACTAGTGACCGGTTCCGGTGTTGTACCGATGGGCTCGGGGCTCGCATTCCTGACACAGTCTGGATTCGTCCACTCCAGGCTGATTTTCTCTTTGCAACCCATCTTCTTCGGTGCCCTGGGCTTGGTGCCAAAGATTCATGCCCGAGAAAAGCGGCGGCAGGAGGAGCCCTGTGTGGGAAGGGCAGATGCAGACAGTCTGCGGACACAGAAACTCTGTGAGTGGCACCCAGTCAATAGTGACACCGGATTCTATGTGTCCAAAAGCTACGGCAGTTACAAAACATTTTGGTGAACTCTTTAAGCTTAGCTAGTCTCAGGCTCTACACATTATAGGTTGGAGGCCATCGCTCTCATATGTGCCATCCGTACCTTTTTGGAGCTTTGCAGTGTGGCAACACGATTGCGTGGCATTATCAGATCCCTCGATTCGATCGATGTGACCTGGCTGCCGTGCATGATTTTGCGTGCCAGTTCTGGAACAAGGACGCTACGAACGGGGCTCCTGGCCTTACTACTAGCAAGGACGCTAGTAGTTGGGAGAACAAGCACAAGTGGGCACATACGTTATGTTCCAAAGGACCTTCGCGGTGAAGATGTCGTCAAACAAATGTCACCCGATCCCATCGACCTGAAGCACAAGCACGAAGAACACAGCACGTGAAGAGTGCACGTGGAAGACATGGCTTTCTCCCTGGCAAAAAGAGCCGCAAAGCGCTGGAAGAGGTTTGTTCTTGCCACACGGCTCCAAGATTGGAGAATTAGCAGTTGCAAGTGAAGCGCCACCGCACCCAGAAACAATGGCCTCCAACTTCCCACGCTGCTCTCTGCCTGGCAGAATTTTGCATCTCGCTGACCAAAACACTGAAACGGTTTCGTGTCCACCCTTCGACTTTGCATCCCAGGAGGGCGACGAAGTCGTTCCGCCGCCTGCAATCAGTCTCAAGAAGGCCGGCTTGGTTCACTTGACGTAGCGTCCTTGCTCCTAGTAGCGATGCCCTTACGGCCAGACAGGCTTCCTTGCTTCGATTCGCAGGTTTTTCAGTTCTTGCACCGGACGAACACTGCGCAGATGACTCAGACCAGAATCGTTAGTCTTGCAGAAAAAAAACACTTCTGTCGACACTTTGAGCAAATCCTGGACTTAACTGCTGAGGCTCATGCAGTCGTCGCCGGAAGTGGCGCTCCAGTTGTGGCTCACTGCGTCTGTCAGCTGGCAGAACTGTAAGCGTGTCAAATGTTTTGAGAATTAATGAGAGTTATATTTGTAGGTTTGTACATATTGTATTAAACATGTTGATATTTTTTCTGGCGTTCGGTCTACAGGAAGGCTGGAGGGTTGTGCATGAAAGCGTTTGCTGTGGTGGATAGAGGCTCTACTAGTGCCAATTGCGCGTGCTGTGAACTAGTTGAGCAGAGCTTCATGTTTCTTAGTTGGCCAACCACTAGTAGCTTCTTGCTACTAGTAGTAATGCCAGGAGCTACTAGTAACTAGTAGCTTCTTGCTCCTAGTAGCGATGCTCTTTGTTACTAGTAGCTTCTTGTTACTACTATGTTACCCCTTTCCTTCAAGTCTTGGTTCAAGAACATAGTTATGTACGACTGTGAAGGGGGTTGTCACCGAAGTGATGTTAAAGAAGCTCTCTTGAAGAGCTCTCTGGTTACATTTCGAGGCAATTAGGCTTCTTTTTGGGCCTAGGTGCACAACATTCTAGACCGAAGGGCTTCCAGAAAAGAAAGCAATAAAGCAACAAGAAATAGAAGCAAAAAAGAAAAGGGAAGGAAGGGAAGGAAAGGAAAGGACAGGGAAGGGAAGGAAAGGACAGGAAAGGAAAGGAACGGAACCGAGACAGACAGACAGAAATATAGAAAGAAAGAAAGAACAAAAAACAGAAGCTTTCTGAAACAAGCCACGGTGACCTTGATTACTATGCTGTGGGGCTACCTGGCAGATCGATAAGATACCGGAACCGAGACGTGCCTCGCATTTCTTCGCAGTTCGCTATGCATGTTTCGAGTTGTGTCCTGGGAGTGTCTTCCTGAGGGGCTTGTGCCATTGCTATTAGGATGGAGGCCATCGCTATTAAGGTGGAGGCCATCGCTAGTAGGGTGGAGGCCATTGCTATTAGGTTGCGGTTCTTGTCGATTTGGATCAGATGTCTCCGTCAGCGGTGTGTTAGAAGTTGGACGTGCAGTTCAGAGCATTTTGTCTTAGATGACGTGCAATTCATTAACATCATTATGCTCCTTCAGCTTTATTAAAATAAGCTACTAGGAACAAGTGCATCGCTACTAGGAGCAAGGGCCTTACTAGTAGTAACAAGAAGCTATTAGAAACAAGAATAGCTAATTTCTATCTCACTATCAGCTTGACTGCAAACAGGTGGTAGCTGACCAAGTGGAACGCGTCGAACAACAGGGCGGTTTCGAGCCAATTTGCTACGAATTCCTGACCCAGGTGAGGCCCACAGAGCGGACGTTAGTATCCTAAGAGCGATGGCCTCCAACCTAGTAGCGTCCTTGTTCCTAGTAGTAAGGCCAGGAGCCCCTACTAGCGTCCTTGCTCCTAAGAGCAATCCACACCGTCTTTCTTTTTTACAAATTTTAACTTTTAGACGTTCCCTTCTTTTGCCTTTTTTGTTTAGACCTTTCTGTAGGCTAAAGTTTTGGTCTCCCGTTTGAGAACTTTTGTCTTGTGAGCTCAACCGTTTGACGGGCTGTTTTCGTGGCTTGTGGTTCGGCTAGTTCGCCTGAAAACCGCAAAATCCGCAAGGCCCTGGTGCTCTTTGAGGAAGAAATTTCAGACAGCTCAAAGCAGTACAAGGGAATTCATGCAATAGTCGGGGTCCAAGACCGACGCTAGCAGGATTGAGACAATGGCTGAAGCAACTTAACAGTCCACGGTTTCGACCTTTAAGGTTGGCACCCTTTGCAAGATCGTTGCTTTGGACCCTGAGAACTTTGACAACGTCTCTCAGAAAATCACCAGGAGACTCGACTTGCAAAGCATCAAGTCCATGTCACCACTGCGTGTCACTGTATTTTGTCCATGGACAGCACAGTGCCCCTCAAGACTCTGAAGGCATGCTGCAAAGTTGCTGAAGAAGTGCAACCCTTAGCTTCCTTTTTAGCCAAACACGATGCTAATTGCTTGCGAAGGGCACAGGTGAGGAACCTTTTACTGGTTGCTGTGCTTGTGTGGGGTCCCCTTTTTGCATAAGCAAGCTTTAGCTTTAGCTTTTGCGATTTAAAACGATTTGTATGCAGTTGTAGGCCATTACTATTAGGTTAAGAAGCTACTAAGGGAGTTCGTGGCCTTACTACTAGGAGCAAGGACGCTACTCGGGGCTCCTGGCATCGCTGCTGGGAGCAAGAAGCTATGTGTTTATTTCTGCTTTAGGCCCATGCAGTGCCGTGCCGTCTCCGCATGCTCGCAGCTCTTTTGGTGCGATGCACGGCGGGACGCCAAACGCGTGCGGGAGTGCTTGGAGAGGCCGTGGACGAAGAAAAAAGTGGCTGGGAACAGAGCACAGGTCATCGCAACAAGGAACAAAGGGCATTGCTACTAGGGGCTCCTGGCCTTACTACTAGGAGCAAGGACGCTACTAGTAGCGGCCTATGCCTGTTTCTTCCACAACAGTGACAACAAGAAAGGTCGTGAAAGGTCCAAAGAAAACACAAACAATCGGTTTGCAGATCTCATTGCTTCTCTTGTTGGCTGAAGCAACTTCGTTAAGTCGCGTTGTGCTTGAAGTATGGCGAAGTGCTCGATCTGGAGGTGTGTGAAGACTTGCGAGGCGGTGGTTCAGTCAGACCCCGCACAGACTGGCCTTTGGGTTGAGATGCTGGACAGATACATTTACTATTTCGAGACCAACTGTGAAGAGGCCAGAAGGGGAGGGGAAGGGAAAACAGAAGGGAAAACAAAGGTTGACAAAGAAGGAAAAGAAACAGAAAGACAGGTCTATAGTTCTAAAAGAAGAAAAGAACACAAAGACAAGAAAGACCAGATTGCTTCATCCCCCTTTTTAAACCAACTCCAAGAGCGGGGTTGGATCATGTCGTCCCGGTTGCAGGTGGACGTTGACTTTCTACAGAGACTACTGGCGATTTGCCTAGAGCACATCAACTTCGCCCTCAGGGATCAACAAGCTGAGAAGGAAGCCAAGAAGGCGCAGGCTCACTTGGAGTCGACGGTGGCTTACCTGAAGAAAATGAAAGAAAGCAGGAGCCCCAGGACACGGAACACCATTTCAAGGCACCTGTTACTACTAGCGATGCACTAGTTTCTAGTAGCGATGCACTAGTTTCTAGTAGCTTCTTGTTACTACTAGTA